AATATTTTTAAAATTAAAAATTGGATATAAAATATATTTTTTAAAAATCAAAATATATAATATTTAAAAAAATTTTATTTGGGTACACCCCAACCGCAGAGCTATAACTTCGTTCAAAATGGTCGAATCCGGGACGCCCTGATATGGTTCGATTCAGCTCGTTGAGTGCATCGAACCATACCAAGGCTTCCCGATTCAACTATTTTGAACAAAGTTATAGCTTTGCGGTACGTTGGCCTGCTCCCATTTTATTTAATTACCGAATTTTCTTTTAATTTTCTAAAAATTTATTTTAAATTTAAATAAATTTAAAATATTTTTTTGAAATTAAATATAATTTTTAAATAAATTATTTTCAATTTTTTTTTCTGTTCTCAAACATTTAAAATATTCCTTTTTAAATTTAATTTTTAAAGCCTCTTTTTAAAATAATTTTTTTTGCAAAAATATTATTTAATTTAGAAATTATTAAAGGCAACAAAAATTTATTTAAAAAAATCTACCCAGAGATAAAATAAACTTTTTTTTACAATTTTAAACACGCAATAATAAATTTAAAAAAATTTGAATTTTATTTAGAAATATTTTTATTGTTAAAATTTTTTCCATAACAAAAAGCTATTTTTACTTTGTTACAAAAATATTAAAAAATATATGTATTTTTATTGTTTAAATTTTGAGAATAAAATTTAAAAAATATTTTTTTAATTAATTATTACATATTTAAATATTTATTCAATTTATAGCCTTAAGCAATTTATTTTTATTTAAATATTTATTTAAAAAATTAATTAAAACAACAAATATTCTTTAAAATTGTTAAATATTTTTAAAGAAAAAGATTTATTAAAAAAAGATTTTTTAAAAAACTTTTCTTTAAATTAATTTATTTCCTCGAATATTTAATTTTTAATCTGTCTACAAAACTTAAAATAAATTATTCTTTATGCCAGCCAGAAAACGTGTCTTTATATTAAATATATATTTATTTATTTAATTTAAATTTTTTGAGAGAGTGAGAGTGAGTGAGTGAGGATTCTTTTGGGATAAAAATTTAAATAAATCATTTAGCAGCTGCTAAAATTTTTGTTTTATTAAAAAAAGGGAAGACTCTTCATATTGCTAAAAGAAAATTGAATGTTTGGGCGCAAACATTTTCTGAAAATTAAAAAAAACTGGATATAAGAATTTTGTGAATTTTAAATGTCGAAATATTTTCCTCTAAGTATGAGAAAGTATAAGCTAATTTTGCCAATATTCGTAGGACTCGAGAACTCGAGAGAAAATCGAGAATGTTTCGAGATCTCAATTCGCCTACGACACTCTCAGTCCGGTCTATATCTCGTACTACCCCTATTGATGAATGATTTAGGTAGTTTTGGTCAGAATTTTTGAGGAATATGTTTAATAATTCTTAGTGGAGGGTGGCAATTAATAAAAAAATTTTTTGCATTTCTGCGTTTGCGTGTTTTGTTGGAGTTTTTTGGTTGTCTCGCGCTTGCTCCCGTTCGGAAAATGCTGGGGGGACTTTTGTATTTTTAAAATAATAATTTTAGAAATTTATGAAAAAATTAGCTAAAATGATCAAAAATATGCAGTAAATATTTTTCTTTTACATACAGTCGTGGAAAAAAGTATGGAAGCGCTAGAAAATTCTCTCTTAATTTTTAATTTTTCATTCAAAAAATACGTTCTATATACCAATCGAAAGCTCTATTCGTATCTCAGTTGACATGTTTCTGCATTTTTCATGAAAATGAAAATTGGCCGAGATAATCCGGATCTACCGGATATACCAAATCCCACTTTTTCGGAAAAATTTTTCGGAACAAATTTAACAAACCCAAATGATAAAGTATATTTTTTTGAGTATTTTCCACAAAACCGCTTAGAAATATCTTTTTTCGGAGCAAAGATATGATTTTTTAAAAATGGCATTTTTCGTCTATTTTTGCAAAAAATTCAATTTTTAAGGGAAAAATGCGATTTTCAAAAAATCATATCTCTGCTCCGGAAAAAGATATTTCTAAGCGGTTTTGTGGAAAATACTCAGATAAATGTACTTTATGATTTGGGTTTGTTAAATTTGTTCCGAAAAATTTTTCCGAAAAAGTGGGATTTGGTATATCCGGTAGATCCGGATTATCTCGGCCAATTTTCATTTTCATGAAAAATGCAGAAACATGTCAACTGAGATACGAATAGAGCTTTCGATTGGTATATAGAACGTATTTTTTGAATGAAAAATTAAAAATTAAGAGAAAATTTTCTAGCGCTTCCATACTTTTTTCCACGACTGTATACTATTTGCTCATCAACTGTCAATAAATAAATCAAAGCCCAATTTATCTGAGCGCCCAAACACCCCTCCACCCCTTACCTTTTTATGCTAATTTAATTATTCTTTTCTTCTTCTTTTTCTAAATACTTCACTCATTCATTTTACTTTTTTCAAAAAAGATAAAAGATTGAATAATGAAAGAAAAAACTCAATAACCAAACAAAAATTTTATCCGCGTGATTTATACCCAAAAATTGGTTTTTCCAAAAAAATTTTTTTTCTTTTTCTCTTCCAAGTAAAAAAAACTTTTTTTCCAATCCAAAATTAATATTTATTTTAAAATTAATATTTTTTTATAATTTTCTTTCTCTCTCTGACTTTAATTTATAGAAAGAAACATTTAAATATATTTTAATAAAAAATTTAAAAAAATTTTAATGTCATTTTAGACATTTTTTTCTGATATTTTAAAGAAATATCAATAATTCTTTTGAGGTTGAAAAAATCACACTTCCGGGAGTCAGGATTTTTTTTCCCGAGTCAGGATTTTTTCTTAACTGATGACGGGAAGGGATCCTGAGGGATAAATCCCAAAAATCCCGAATCCCGAATGACCCCGAGAATCAAAAAATCCGGGAGTTCGGGATCGGGATCCCGGAAAATCCCGCGCCTACCTCTTGGCAGAAGGCCAAGAGGCCGACCCCGTCCCGCGCCAACCTCTAATTCTTTATTTATTTTTATTTTAGCTTCTTTTCTTTTTTTTAATAAAAATAATTTTCTTGTTAATTTAAATTTTAGTTTAAAAAACTTTTTATTTTAACCAGACTAGTGACGAAATAAAAGAAAAAAAAGCTAGTAAATTATTGACAAAACAAAAAATAATTACCTAAAATTTTGTCACAAATTTGCCCTTTTCTCTTCTTCTCTTTTTCCCCTAAAGCTTTCAAAACTTGGCAGAAGGTCCCTTCTTTTTATTTTTTTTCTGTTGAAAACTACCGGAAATTCTCTCTAAAAAATTTCATCGACGTTCCTCCAAAAAATGTTTTTCCCACCTTTATTTTTCTTCTCTTTTTATTTATTTTTAGCTAATCTCTCCTCTTCTCTTCTTTCCAAAAAAATATTTTTCTCATCTTATTTTTTAAAAAACAAAATTTCCACTAAAAACCCCTCAAAATAATTTTTAAAAGGACAATTAATTAATTAATTTTTAAATTTTTTTACCCACAACTTTTACCCAAATAATTAATTAAAAGCTCAATAATCAAAAAATATTCTTTAAACTCTAAAAATATATTTTTTTATTAATTTAATTTAGCTATTTTTACAATTATTTTTTCTTTCTAAATTTTAAAAATCAACAATTATTTTTTTTATTTCTTTTTTAAATTCCAACAAAAATTCCTCAATTAATAATTGTTTTTTAAATGTTTTTTTTATCTAAAAATTCTTTTATTTTATTTAATTTAGAAATATTTCTTTTTTTGTTAAATTCTTTTATTTTTAAATATTTTATTTAAATAAAGTTAAAAATAATAATTATTTTTTTAAAATATTTCAAAACTTTTTTGTTTTTACATAAAATACATACCTATATTTAGTTGTCTCACAAATTTATTTAAAATAATTTCTTATTTTATTTTAGAAGACTAAAAAAATAATATTTTTTTAGTTTTTAGAAAATCTTCTACCTATTTTTCTTTAAAATATATTTTTAGCTCTGTTTAAAAATTATTTCTTCTCATTAATTTTGTAGAAATTTTTTGCTCTTTCCTGCAAAATATTTAAAACAATTATATGCTAATTAAAATTATTTTTTAACAAATATTTTTTATATTAAAATTATTTACAGCCAAAATCAGTTAATTATTTTTAAATTTTTTTTGTTATTTTGGATAATACATATGTATAATTTTAAAATAATTTTTTAAAATACATTAAATAATTAATTTAAAAATATTTTAATTTAAATATATAAATTCTATTCGAGTTCATATTTTCTTAACCAAATTCGTAACCAAAATTTTTCTTATAAAATATTCCAACTCTGATATTAATTCAAAAATAAAAATAAAATAAATATTTATTTTATTTTACTTTCAATTTAATTTTGAATTACTTCCCTTCCATTTTCTAAGAAAACTTTTTATTTATTAAAATTCCTCAATAATTTCCTTAAAAATTATTTAATTATTTATTTTATTCTAATTTATACTATATTTGTTTTAAAAAATTTATTTATTTTTTAAATGAACAAAGATTGTGGGAATTTAAAGAGATAAAAAATAAAATAAATATATTTAAATTAGAGAGAAGCTGAGGCATCAAATAAATAAATTAACTATTTTTTAAAATTATTTTTAAATTTAAATAAATATACATATTTTTATTTTTAAAAATATTTTTTTTGCAAAAAAAAATATTAATTTTAATTTTAAAAATAGTTAGTAAAATGTTTCTAAAAATAATTTTTGAAAAAAAATATTAAAATTAAAAGCAAAATACTTTTTTAAGTTTTCCTAATTTTTATTAAAAAATAATTTACTAGATTTAAATATTCCCCCCTTATTTTTTCTTAAAAATGGACGAAAGTCCTTTTACTATTATCGGTACTTCAACAACAACAACAATTACCCCTTTAAAATTATTTACTTCTAACAGTAACAATAACCCTTCTGTAAATATAAGTAATGAAAATAATTTAACAACAAATTCTATTTTTATGGAAGAACCTCCAGTTGAAGGTTTTTTGATAAAATTAGAGGGAAATTGTAATTAAATTAATTTATAGCTTGGTGTTTTGATTTACTTTTATTTTATCGAAGTCTTGGGGATGATGACCCTCAAGCTAAGAAAATGCTTGCAGAATTGGAGGCGTAAGTATTTTAATTACCCTTTAATACAAAAAATAATTAAGTACATATACCCTTTAAAGTTATGAAAATATGTTAAATATGTGGTTAATAAAGAAATATTTTTTAGATATGAAAGATTCTCATTTGTAGTTAATGGATTAATTACTTGTTTATTAGTTAGTTTTGGGCTTATTGGAAATGCTTTATTTGTTTATCAAGTAAAATTTTAATTAAAAGGCTTCTATCTATAAATAAGTGTGATAATTGGATTTAAAGAGAAAAACAGTTAACAAATCCCCAGAAAAGGGGCTCAGTTTAAAACTTTTTAATAAGATGTAAGGATGAATAAGGGAGAGTTTCGAGTAGTTTTTAGTGAGATAAATTCGGCAAATTAGAGTTTTTTAGCCTAATCGAAAAAAAATAAATTTAAGGACAATATTTAGGTAATTATTTGAAGTATGTACTTCCCTCCTCCTCCTCCTCCTTTTTTCTCCTCCAAATTTTCTTCGTTTAATTAAATTTATTTTTTATTAGTTACATAACAAATCCAATCACTTTTCTCGCCGTCTAGCCAAACATTTAACAGCTTTATGTATTTGGGATATTGCCCTTTTATGTTGTTGCCTTTGCTCTTATGGTTGGGTTTTTTAATTTATAAAAATTGTTCTTAAAAATATTTTAAAGGTATTATTTGTATGTGCCTAGGTATTTTACCTTTTGTTGGAGTAACTGCTTATTTACTTTATTTATTCCAACCATTTGCCAGTTTTTGTGTTACCGGAACTGTATGAGGATTATTTCTAAATAATTATTTAAATTTAATTTAAAGATTTGGCAAGTATTAGCAATCACAATCGAAAGACACAAAGCTGTTTCCCGTCCATTAGAACAACGAACACGAAAAGGGCAATTTTCTTTACGTTCAATATTTTCTTGTATTGTTTTTGGGGCTTTTGCTTTGAATTTTTTGGCTGTTCCTTTTGAAAGGGCTTTAATTGACTGGTTGGAAAAGAAGATTTTTGTAGAAAAAAACTTTTAATTTATAGTTATGAATTTCGTTCTAATGGATTTGAAGTTAGAACAATGATTGTACAACGAGAATTGGTATGGGAAATAAATTAAACTAAGATTTAAAATTAGGCACCCATTTAGCATCCATTTATTTACCTTTTTTAAAAATAAATAAAAATTTCCAAAAATTATTTTCATTTAAAATTTAAAGGTAAACAATCAGTATTATGCCATATTATCTCATTTAATTCCGGATTTAATATTCCGAGCGCCAACACCAATAGTTATTATAGCTATATTAACTGTTAGAACATTACAAATAGCTAGTGCCCAGAGAACTGTTGGACACCAACAAATAATTCCACAAAGACAGAGAGCTTTGGGAAGGAATGTTCATTTAATGTTGACGGTAAATTAATTTAAAATTAAATTTAAATTATTATTTATTTTTAGTTTCTGTCAATTAAATTCATTATTTGTAATAGTAAGTTTTAATTATTGGAATTAAATTTTGAAAAGTATCTTTTCGGCTTGAGCATTATCTTATTTAAATTTAGTTTTATGTATCCTAAATTTAAAAGTCTGGACCAGACCTGCTCACGGATATTAATTTTGGTATCCGTAGCAGGATATTTACGGCGGATATATCTGTGTTCATAGCCGTATCCATGGGCAGGTCTGGTTTGGATATTATATTGTGTTGTTTTTGTCCTTTGTCTCCTTTTTTTTCGTTTTCCCTCTAAATTTTAAAAATATTTTTGGAAAATTAAAATATTGTTTTTTTTAAATTAGAAAGTAAAGATTTAATAAAATAATTTATTTTTAGCTCTATATTTATTTAATACAATATTAATGGAAGTAATGGGTTATGGAGGTAAAACAAGTAGCCAACAAACAGAATTAGAAATGGAACAAGTTAATTAACTTTTAATTTACCTTAAAAATTTAAAAAATTTAAAGTATATAAGTAGTTTATATTTAACTGACTTCTCGAATATGTTATTGGCTATACATTCAGCTACAAATTGGTTAATATTTTATAAATGGCCAGAATGTAAAGAAGTGAGGGAAAATAAAAATTTAAAAAATAAAAATTAATTTTTAAAGAAAAAAGTAAAACGGTTTGCCACAAGTTTAACACTTTCGGCTTCTTCTAGAGCTGATTGGTTGAGAGGATCAGCACCAATAGATTCTACTTCCGCGGAACAAGCATTAAATAAATTTAGAGAATTAAAGAATGAAATATGTGCCGATATACTTTCTTCGGTAAGAAAAGAAAAAAGAAAATTAAAGATTAAATGATTATAATTAATTGGGTAAATTAGAAAAATAAAGATATAAAAAATAATTATTAATTAGAGAGCGAGCTGGACCTGGACCAAGGCCTGGGTTTTTCCTGTACCCAGAGTCCAGGCCCAGGCATTTTTTGACATTCCTGGGTTTTTCCTGGGCCTGGGTTTTTCCTGGACTACAAGCCCAGGACCTGGCCCAGGACAATAAATCAAACCCCAGGAACAGGCCCAGGCTTTTCAAAAATCTCTATCTTTATTATTAATTTTCTATCAAAAAATATATAGGAAAATAAAATTTTAAATTAATAGCTTTGCAATACTTGTTCTTCAATTGGAGATGCTTTAGGTATCGATAAAATTCAAAATCGACCAATTACTCCTCAATTATTCCTAAATAATACAGAATTACTTCAACATACTAATTTACTTGGAAATATTATTGGTAATTTATTTTCTTATAAACTTGCCAAAAAGGAGGGCTGACTTTTATTTTTAGATAGATTTAAAGTCCCTGTTAGTTAATGGCATTAAGGGGGTGAATGCGCTAAAAAGACGGTATAAGGTGGTAAAAAGATGAGACTTTAACCCCTCTTTTTTAACTTTAATTAGAAAAAGTGGAAATGGGAATACATATACCTAACTACCGTATTGTCTCTAATAGAAGCCCGTCTCCATTAGAAGCCCATGCCCTAACAGAATTCCACTCAATGAGGGGTATTGAAAAATAGAAGCCCTGGGCTTCTATTCGAGACAATACGGTGTTTAATAAAAACAATACTAATTAAGAATCAGTACTTATTCCACTTGCCCGTCCAAATTCCGAAGAGAACGATATTATTGAATGGAGGGATTTTTGTAGACAAATAGGTTATCAATATGCACAAATTAATGGATGTTTAAATGCTGAACAATGGAAAATTGTTAGATGGAAATTGGTGCTTGCATTAAGTGGAAATAGAACACGTTCAATACAAATAGATGACAGATTATTAATTAATAATGGAAATATTAATAATCATAAAAATATAAATAATTCTTTATTAAAAAATAATAAAGAAAATAATACAATTGGACAGAAAAAAAGAAAAATGTTTGTTTTTATTTAAGTTTAATCCTGATATTGTCTAGGTATTTCTTTCTTAATTAATTAAGAATTCTATCAATTTATTCTTAAATTAGTATATGGTAAGGCCTTCTATGTTGATTAATCAACAAATTAGTTGACTTTTTTGACTTACCAATGACCAAAAAAATAATTTTTGGAATATTACTTTAATACAAAAAGAGTTATGTTCTTAATTGAGAGAAACTTATTTAAATTAGGAAATAAACAAAACAGAAAGTTGTTAAATATTGTAGAGACCTGTATACTTACAAGGAATGGCACAGGATATCAGATACCGAAATCGGAAACCTGAACAATTTCTCTATTCGATACCCTATCCGATAATTCTTCGAAATTCCGATCTGACATTCTACCCGACTCTTTTCACAACTTGTGAAATCCCTGATACTCTCAAATTTAAATATACTCAATTAATACTCTCAATGATATTCTCAATTAATAAATAAATTTTGTAAAATAATTTCCTATCTCTATTATTTTCAGTTGGCATCAATTCTCTTCCCCTTCAGAAAATAAAAATAATAAAACAACATTAACAACAACACCAACAACAACAACCTCAATAACTCCAAATAATCACCAAAAAGCTTTAGTTAGAACATTTAATTGTACTTTAAGAGAAATGAAAAATGGGGCTTTATGTGCTTTTGTTGATTCTAGTCAAAGACAAATGACTTCAAGAAATGGATATAAAAATATTGGAAAATATGGAGAAAGACAAAAAAGGGGTAAAATAAATTATTAATTGCCCTCCCTCAAATAATTACCTCGCTTCTATTAAATACCTCCTTTAGCGTGAGGTCGAAACAATACCCAGGGTAATTAATAAAAGTTTTATGGTATTTTTAAGTAAATTTATAATAAAATAATTTTAAAAAAATATCGAGAGGACACATAAAACATACAAAATAATTTTAGAATTGAAAATAAATTAAATTTCATTAAAGACGAGGGGAGGGGGGTTTCAAGCCAATCCTTTAAGTAAGAATATTTGCAAATAAATGTCAATATCGTTTTAAGGTGGATATTGTTAAATATAAGCTTATTCAAAGGGTTTTACGGAATTTCACAATGATGATTTCCAACTACTAAACATTTTTTAAATTTTTTCCAGATTCTTCAGTTTCCCAACAACAATATGGAATAGCTCCTATACATTTAATTAAACGTTTAAATTGGATTAATGGCCCTCCAGCTGGTGTAGTTGCCAGAGCCATATTTCCTAGGCCATCAACTTCCCAGGATTCTTTTAGTTTAGTACTTACAACAAATGAAAAACAATATTTGAGGGATGAAGAAAATATAGAAAATTATGAAAATGAAGAAAATAAAAGAAGACTTTCTAAAGGAATTGTTGATTAGAAAATAAATAAACTTTTAAATTATTTATTAGATTGCTTATGCAAAAATAAATTAATTAAAAGAATATTTTGGAAGAATATAAAGAAGGCAAGAAATATTTCAAAATAAATTGAAGTTCAATTAATAATTAATTTAAAAATTTATTTTTAATTTATATTTTAATCAAAAAATTTCAACTCATTGTTCTCATTATTTTTTGATAAATTATTATTAAATATTTAATATACATATATTTATTTATACACAAAACTCAGTATTTGTTTACAATAAAGTTCTCGGATAGATGGAGATCTTCGGATATCCGGATCCGATATCCGAACTAAAAATTTCCGGATATTCTGTCTTTTTTTCGGATCCGGATCCGACAAACTTAGTTTACAATTGTTTGGATTGGGTGTATCTATTATATTGGGTGTATATTATAAATCCAACTTTTGTAATCAAATATTTATGCAATAAATGTTTTTAAATTTTACACAATGAAAATCGGAGAAGATTAAAATGTCTTGAAAGAATTAAAAATGAATACATGGTTGAGGTATTTACAATTTTTATATCAAGGATTGTCCCAATAATAATATGTATATAACCATGCCAAACCCCAAAAATTGCCGGGAATTCAAAAAATTTTTTGGAATCGGAAGAGTGGAATCCCTGATATCAATATATGGATATGGATATGTACATAAAAAACAATTTCCTTCTCAACTGATAATATGGAAATCAAAATGTAATCTTCGGAATAAAATGTTAAAACTTTAAAGGGAATTTGAAAAAAAAATAAATTTAATTTGACTTTTTAATTTTCATATTAATATTTCTTTCCCTTCTTTATCTTATCATTTTTCTCTTTTTCTTTCTTTTCCTCTTCAATTCTTTGCTCGTCCAAAGTTTTAATTATGTCCTTAACTTTATTTGTAATTGAAGTTTCTTCACAAAATTTTTTTAAAACTTTTTTCTCTTTATTTTTGTATTTTTCCTCCATATTTTTACAAAATTCTATTTTTAATAAAATTACAACAATTCCAATATTCTCAGCTTTTTCTAATTCTTCTAATTCTTTTAATTCTTTTTGTTGTTCAATAACTTTTGTAGCAACCAATTTTAATGTATTTTTCTTATGCTAAATTTTAATAATTTAAATTTATTTGGGTATCTGGCTATCCAGAAAATTTTGGTAGAGAAGTGAGGATTCAGTAATTTAGAATTGCCCGATTCAGAATATTGTTGTAAAGCATATAGCTATTTAATTACTAAGGCTGTGCAGTAGGCGGCGTGGTGTAATGGATAACACATCAGTCCGGTCTACTGAAAATGCTGGTTCGCTCCCTGCCGCCGAATAACCTTTTGCACTAGCTAAAGGGAGAGAAAAAGCTAAAGCTATTTTTTGTTCATTCAAAATTACAGAAATTTTAATCTTATATTCTAAATATTTCGAGAATAAAGTTTGGAAAAATATTTTATTAAATACCACCTCAATCTTATTCTCATTTAATTTTTCTTTTTGCTGTTTTATATCCAACGCAATCTTAAATTTTAACTCATTTTTAAATCTTAAAAAATCATCTATATTTTGATAATATTGTAATAGATAACTATTTTTCTCATTCTTTATTTTCATCAAATACTTCAAAATATCTTCCAAATTTAAATCTTGTGATTCTCTGATTATTCGGTTAAAATCAGAAAAGTCTCTTTTATCAATTACTTTTACT